GTCCACGAACATTTTTATAGTACAGAGAAAGTTGTTTCACAGTCCTTGTCACACTATTTCCAAAACTAGTTAATTGGACCAAGTTATTGTTGTTACGAAAACTATTTGAATCATTTAGACGATTGGTATGAGGTCGACGGAAGAAAAATCTTGTTGTTTGCTTGTCTCATTCCTTTCATGTGGATGTGTTTGCAATAACCGAGCCTTGGTTATTTATTTAATACTTTATTCTCTATATCATTACAAAGTGTGCTTAAACTAAGAGAATAAGAAATATGGAATTGTTATTTTATAAAACAGAATAGTGTAAATGCCACAAATTATTTACCCAAAAATTATTATATAAACTACAATTGCTTAATACTACTAATACCACAAAAATTTTGATTTTCACAATAAAATTATTTGTTTCTATGTATCTATAATTATTACTGTTTAGTTCTAATTTACTATTTCATATTATTTAGATTTACTTATACATACTTAAATTTATAATTTATAAAACATGATTTGGATTAAGGATTTCACTAAATAAGGTTAAATTAAATTAGGCTAGTTAACAAATTATCTACCTCCCTATGCTCAAAACCCAAAAGCCATTCTGTTACATTTTTAACAGAATTATTTAAATTTTTAGTAGCACGTATTTGTTCAGGAAGTTTATTAAACAAGCGAACAGAAGTTATATCAAAGAAATTGCGATAATTTGTAGTTCTAAAAACTGGAACATTAACTAAGAATCTTTGATTAATACGTAAACCATAGCGATTTGAAGGTCTACTATTTAAGTAACCACCTCTTAGGTAAAAAACCTTTAAAACTCTTTAATAGTAAAGTTGTCTAACTGGTAGAATTTTCAAGTTTCTGAATAAATCTATACTTTGAAATAAACGATACCTTTTGCAAATTTTTCTAACTACACATTTTTGCAAAATCAATAGTGGATAAATTTTATTTTTATATGTACCACCCCAGCAACTTATGCCATATTGTAATTTAGAATGAAAAATACCATAATAAAACATTAATAGAGTATTCTGCGAGCAAATTCTACTTAAACGATAAAAATTACGTAAGGTAGAGCACAAATAAGATTTTAGAGCATTTTTATGTCCTGACCAATTCAACTTACTATCAATAAACACACTTAAATATTTGAATTGGTTAACTACTTCTATAGGGAAGTATGCAGAGTTACAACTAACAGAATGTTCAATTTTGTCACTAAGGTTATAATCACTATTTATAAAATCACTTTTGCAACCAGATGAATGGAAAACTAGATTGATATCAAAAAGTTCCTTCTGTGTAAAATTAAAAACATTAATTTTGTTTTACCACTAACAATTAGCCTATGTCGAAAGAACCAATATCTTAACAAGCTAAGATCTTTATTGATCGCACACGATAAATTGAGTGGACTATTGCAAGAATAGGAAATGGCAAGATCATCAGCAAAAGCTGTTAAATTACCCTCAAACTCGAGATCAAAAAGCGGATTAATATATATAAGAAACAGTATAGGTCCCAAAACTGACCCCTGTGGAACTCCCAACCTAATACATTGAACACTACTAAATTTGCTACCTATTTTAACTTTTTGTGTTCTACATTCTATGTAGGATTTAAACCAATCAAATATAAAACCACGAAAACCTAGCGCAAATAATTTATTTAAGAGAATTTTATGATTCACCATGTCGAAAGCCTTAATAACATCAACAAAAAGACCTGCACAATTTAGTTTATTATCTAGACCTGCATTTATTTGCGAACAAAAATTTAACAATGCATCTTCAGTTGACATACCTTTTTTAAAGCCAAACTGTTTTGAGCTAAAAAACTGCAACTCGTATAAATATTTTAATGTTCTAATTCTCATTGCCTTTTCGAAACTTTTGAAATTGTAGGAAGCAAGGAAATAAGTCTATAGTTGTTTCTGTCAGACTTTTCGCCTTTTTTGAACAGAGGAATCACAACTGCAGATTTTAACTGATCTGGAAATAAACATGAAAGCACACTGAAATGAAAATATATGCCAGAGGATCGACAGCATTAAATGCAATTTCCTTTAATAATTTATTGGAAATATTATCAAAACCCACAGAGTTTGAGTTTTTTAAAGACAGAATAATTTGGAGAATTTCAGGAACCAAGAAGCTATCAAAAAAGAAACTGTTACGAACGCTATTTATTTCAATTGTACTATAATCTTAATTAGAACCCAAATCAGAAGACAACTTGGTAGCAACCAAAGAAAAATGATTATTAAATTCATTTGCAATCAGAAACTCATCTGTCATCAACTGCCCACTATGTATTAATTCTATTTTCTTATTATTTCCTGAGTTCTTTTCCTAGTTAAACAAGTTATTATACAAGCCTCCACTCGTACCTTATGTCACCATTACATTTAATAAATTCATCTTGATAAAATTTAGTTCAGGAATTTCTTATTTTATTTTTTTGCACAGCTTTTTGTAACGCTTTTTCAATCTCGAATTAAAATGGTGCTAGCTTTTTTATTTTGCGACTGGTGGGAATATTAGACTAATATAGCTTGGTTTTATATTCTGAGATGTAGCTATATTTGCTTTTGTTTCAATGCCTGTGTTCAATGTTTCGCCTTATATCCAATTGGAATACTTTTTCAAATTTTCATTTGTAGACTTACTTGTATTATTCGTACTATTCTCAGCGATGAACGATCAAACGACGAATAATTGAAAGTGTTGGTTGTAAGATATTTGGTTCCACTGTCAGAGGTTTTGTTGTTGTTATTATGACTATTATCACTATTGTCTTTGGCATTCAGCATTATTGTTATTATTGCTGTCGACATTGATGTCAGTATTATTATTGTTGTTAATATTATTGTAATTATTATTGTTATTATTATTATTGTTGTTATTATTATTATTATTTTTGTTTTTATTATTGATGTTAAAATTATTTATTTTATCCTTTTTATTATTGTTGTTGTTCCCTTTAAATGTATAATTGTGTTTGCCTATGCGAGAGGAATCAGTGCGTGAAAAGTTGTCCATATTGTTAGTATTTTGAAAACGAGCCTGTCCCTTGTTCCTCCTATTATTAAGTGGGTTAGTTAGTATTGAATTAAGTTTAAAGTGATTTGCCTTCTCATAGCTAACATCACTCCCAATTGAGTCACAACCCCTCAAATACTGAATCACTGCACCTAAATGTCAAAACTTATGACCAATTACGTCATCAGGTATGGAGAAAGGAAGAAGGGACAGCAAATTTGAAAGACTTATATTTGGGCTTGTATTTTGAGCTATTTGGAGTTGTATTAGCTGCGGTTACATTGCCGCACTTGAATTACTTAATAACAATCTAAAGCAACTTACTGTTGTGGTTACTGGGAATTATCGAAAATAATAATGAGGGAAGATCTAACGGCTCATATAAATATAGCTCATAGCCATCTTACAAAGTCAGCATGCTATAATATCGGGTGTAATTTCATTGTTACTCTTTTCTATTTCCCGGAAAATATCCCAATGTTTGCTCCTTCTCTTTCTTTAATTAATAATTTTCCATATTTAAATACACTTATATTTTAATTACTTAAAAATTATGAACTTAATAAAACGCAACTCATAAAATTTAAAATATTTACTAAAAATCTTTTTGTCTCTGCAAACTTGAACAATCACATTACTTTGCTTGATCATATAAAATGCTTAAAAACAATCCCCATAAGAACTAAAAGAAAGGCTTTTATGCATGTTTACTCCTAAACCAAATAAAAAATTAAACCAAAAAAAAAATTTTATTTAATCTGATTAAATACAAATTTTGTATGATTAAACAATGCTTGATCGAACGTGATCGAATCGTTTGAGGCACTAATTTTCTTTAATGCCTAAACCAATAACGTATAATTGGTTGTTTTTCAGAAGTTTTGTAATTTTCTGAATAAAACCAATTCCGGAATTCGAGATAAATCCTGTTCTAAAACCTGTTTGTGCTGCATCTAATGCTAGATGCAGCACAATGCTAGATTCATCACAAAAATCAATGCTAGACTATCTATCTAGGGTAAAAATCAGACTAGCATTTGTGACATCTTTGAAATCTATCAAATGTTTAGCTAATAAGAAATATCAGATTTTAATTTTACAATTAAAAGCCATAATTGAAACAAATAAACAAATCTGCTACAACATCGTCATTTAAATTAAAGATTAAAATTTATTTGACTATATCTCAGAAACTATAAAAGCTATGGTATTGAAATTTCACACAAACGAATATATTAGTAGGGCCGATGTGTTTGATAAAATTCGTTAAAATTTCTTGTGCCTTTCTGATACCTGCCATACAACTTCAATAGTAGTTTGGCACACACAGTATTTTGAAAAACACTGTACTGAAACTTTGCATAAATTAATATGGTAATGTTATAGCATATTTATCCGCATATAAGACAATTCGTACGGGTATCAAAGAGTTGACAAGGTCAAGTCTATTTTTTCTCGTTTTTTTTATAATATTGAACCATAAATCGTATTTTCCTTTTCAGGAAGTTTTCCGTTAAAGAGAAGTTCAACATATTTTATCTTCGAAATTTCCTGGATCAAATTTAGAATTTTTTTGAGTTTTCAAATAGTACATCGGATACGCGACGGAAAGTCTTACAAACTTTTATGAAAATTTAACGGACACCTGTTACATTTACTTCGTGTACTCAGCTGAAATAGAAATTAGATTTAAAAAAATTATATATAATAAATCTAATAAAGGATTAGATTTTATATGTATATATGTTATATAATATAAAAAATTATGATAACTTAACAGAGATACAAGATAATCTGTTTTATTATTTTGTCATATTCGTTTATTATCTTTTTTATTTTGATTTTGGTAACTCCAATATTTATACCATTTTTATAACTTAAGGTATTAATTTCAAAGAGATTTTAGTTTTTTCTTTGGATTCAATTTTTTCTTATTTCTTTTCTTTTTTCTGTTCATTTTTTCGGCTTGCTTCTTTCTCTTGGTATAAGAGTAATATAATCTTTAGAAATATTTTGTTTCTTAAAATGATTTTTGTAATGATTTAAGAGATTTTGGAATCGTGTTTGTAAAACTAAAGCATTTTTGGCTTTCTTCTTTTGTTTTCCTAATCTATAACGTACGCTTCTTTCGGTACTTTTTAATAAATTTGGCGGCATATCATCTAGTTGATGTAGAAATTCCTGGAAAACAGAAATAAAAAAAGAAAAATTTTTTCCAATAATTTTTTTTTAAGAGGCACTTTTTAATCTTATAAGATAAATTTGCACCGCTATAATTTATTTTACAAAATTCTTAATTTTTTAATCATCAAGATTTAGAGTTCACTTACCATAATAAGATCTTGAATTTTTCCAATTTTTTCTTCAACATTTAATGCTTTATTTGCCGCATTTTTTTTTGATGAACTTGTAACAAATAACTTCACCTGTTTTTCTTCGTCAGTTTCAAGTTTGCTTAATATTGTTGAGATTGTTGCATCATATTGAGCCATAATTTTACTTAAATAAAAACAAATACATTTAAAAAGAACTTCTAAAATTAAATTACCTACTGTATACTTATTTAAAATTATTATAAAAATTGTTCATTTTCTGCCACAGTGACATAATTCAAAAAATTCAATTTGTGAGTTATTAAAATTTCTTTTTTTTTGCGCAAAAACACAAAATTCGCTAAAGCCAAAACGCTAGCTAAATTCACTAGCTTCTCAAATGTGGAAATTTTGAACGACGTCAGTGTTGCGGCAAACAAGTGAAATAATAAAAGTTGTAACTTTATACTTTGATTTATATTGCTTTGACCATTGTTCAAAAAGTGTATTTGCTTTTTCTTTTAATATATTTGTGCGATCTTTTGGAAATGTTGGATCTACTAAAACAATTTTTGGTTGTGTTCGATATTTAAAAACTTTCATCTAAAATTAATAATTATGATAAGAAAAAAATTTAATAAAATTAGTTGAAAATTTAAAAGGTAAATAGAATATATAAAATGCTCACATATTTTTCATATATTAAATAAACAACATGATTTAATAATGCAATTCTGCATAAGTAGCGATCGTAGTTAAAAATTTTTCTTCTAATATTTTCATAACCCTTTAATAATATAATAATATATATATTAAAAAAAAGTAAAATTTGAAATGTAGAAAATAGTTTTTAAAAAATTCAATAGGTAACCTGAAACCACAATTCCGAATTTAAATAACTTTTCTTTTTCAAATACGGTCTTATTTGATTATCCATACAATTTTGTAATTTTAACATTTGTTCTTTGTCATATTTTTCAGGCATTTCTTCTAAAAATGGTTTCAATTCATTTGTCATTAATGCATTCACCTCTTCAATATAATAATTTTCTGGACTTACTGTATCAAAATAGCTCTATATATATATATATAGATAGGCGAAATACACATGTTTTAAAATATTTTCGTATATAATTTAATTTATATACACTTACAATTAATTTTAATAAATATTGAAATCTTTCATACATTTCAATAAGACTCATATAAATTTGTTGATATTGGGATTCAAGATCTTTTAAATGATTTTCTAAATTAGTTAATTCAAGAGTTTTCAATTTTTTATGCTCTTCTTCCATTTCAGTAAAAGCGAGTGTTTCGATTTCTTTTAAACGTTCATAACAAAACTAAAAATGAATTTGTGATTAATTTTTTTTCACTTTATTTAATTAAACACCTTACATCACAAAATTGTTTCATTTCATAATAGCAAGCATCTTGAACACTTTGCTCTTGAATGTCATGAAGTTCACGTTTCCGATTAATATGTGCAAAATATTTTGTTCGTGTAATTTCACGATATTTTAAAATATCACTAAAAAAATATGTGATTAAGAATTTTGAAAAATTTCTTTTTTGTTTTGAACCAAACCTTTTTACTAAAAATTTTCTGATTTTTGGACGTTTTTTACAATCTTTTATATATTCCGAATCAATTGTGACAGCTAAACATGGTGCTGTTGGACTCGCTATTTCACCATTCTGTAAAATATAAAAAAATCCAAGCTAATGTAGGAACAAAATGTAATAGTTTCGAAGCCACATGAAGCAAGACCCAAAAAAAGGAAAGATCCGGCGGTGCCACAACGGGCCTGGATGGCTTATATGTACCCTTAGGGGGGCCCCGTTAACCTAACCTAACCTAACCTAAAGTCACATGGGTATTATAGTGGTACCCTCAATAAAATTTAATATTTTCTTTTTGTGCATATTATTTAATTTGCAAGAATATTGTTTTTTAAGATTAAGACCTAGCCTAACCAAATGAGTTTGTTTAAAAGTATTTGCAAAAAAATTGGAGATTAATATGATGAAAGTGAATCAAATCGTGGAGTTTGCGGAAATTCTTAATTACTCGTATAACATTATCATTGATTTTTTTTTATGTTTTTGAATTTGTATGTAGTTATTCCTTTGTTTTTACAAAATTATTTTTAACCCTTGAAATTGTATTTGATTTTTATTGAATTTATTCTGTGTATATAAATATTATTTAAGATGTAACTTACACTGTCAAAATTTTCAATTGTTATATTGGGTTCTGGTGATTTTGGTTCTGTTATATCTTCTATAGCATAAAAGTCTGAAAGAGAGTATTTTTCACTTAATTTCTTTAAATTGAAAAATAATTTTACAATACCATCATATTTTCGTAAGTTTTGCGTTCCATATTTTTGTGATTTTATAAATTTTTTTCTTCTATTTTTTAGTTTCATTTGGTTTTATGTTTTGTACTCCTTCTGATTTTAAATCGAAAATGATTAAAAAAATATTTTTTAAGATTTAAAATTATATAAGAATTATGAAACTCTATAGCAACAATTTACAATTTGTAAACATTTTTTTTTTTATTTAATTACTTAATATATCATTTTATTGTAAATACGCTCTCTACTATGATTTAAAATGAGCATGAAATTCAATTTTTTTTCTAGAAGGAAGTCCGGTTCTGGCTTAAACTCCTTATAACTTGTTTAGCTTAAATTTTCAATGATCCAAATAAAAATGCAGAAACCTTACGAAAGTAAGTCTGATTCTTCGATGATTGCTCGTCTATATATATAATATATCCTTTTTTTATTTATACATATATTTTGTTATTTATAAAATCCTATGACTATACATGTCAAGAGTGTTTTTGAACTTTCTCAAGCATTTTTTGTTTTTGTTTTATTCGTTTATCTACATTCATGCTAGGGTTGCCACTTTAGAAGATTTCTACCAAAATTGTTTTTTTTTTCGGTTGGTAAATTGGAAGAATGTTTTCTATTTTGGTAGAATTTTGAAGACTGGAAAAAATTTCCCATTCGATTTACTTGAAAAGAAATTTTTAAATATTTACGTATATTTCATGATCAACTTTTCTTCAATTTTCAAAACGAACTCATTGCTACTTAAATATAACTCACAAAATGTTCCTATAAAGCGTGTATTTTTTGAAAAGGTTAGCAGCATAAAAAATCGATTAGACGAATATTGTTTTTATCATATTTTTATAAATTTTCATACAAGACCTTAATAAGAAGTAAATTGAAATATAGGTTAGAATACGACACAATTAATAGCATTGGCAAAAGAGCTTAATTTACCAAAAAGCAATGAACGTTTGGACTCCAAAAAATGATATTTTATTTAAATTATAGTACATATAAAAATCAATAATTGTGTTAAACGCTTTTTTTTTTATAATGTATTGTGATTTTTGAAAAATGAAAGGTGCAATACATATTTATGTTCCTTATGTTATAATTTTTTGATCTCATTACTGCTGAGATAATTGCCGAGAAAGACATTGACATTTTTTGAAAAAAGTGATTAATGGAATAAGGTTTGGCACGACGGTTTATTATTTGAACTTAACAAATTGATATCTTTGCAATTCGTGGAGTTACTTGAATTATATTTATCTGACAGGCTTTTTCGAATGAAACAGGATGAGGAGTACTCTCCGCTTAGGGAAATTAGGACCGGTATCGTTCAGTTTGGCTACTTTTGGGAGTTTATGACCATCCAGGTTTGTTTTTTTGGTTGGGTTAAAGTCCTCCAATATTGATAGGTTCGATAGCAGTTTGGGTCCGCCTATCGTTTTCTTTCGATGATTTTTAACATTTGCATTAAAAAAATTTATACCTGTATTTCTGTTAATAGTAATATTATGTTGTATCTTAATTTATGTTAATAAAAGCTAAAAATGACAGAATATATTTCTACTTTGAACTTTTCAGAAAATGGTTTTTTTTTTGTTGAATTGGTTCATTTTGTCTGTCAAGGCGGTTTCCAAATATTTTTTACAATGGCAACCCTGATTCATACCTACATGTATAAATATACATACTTCAAAATATCCTTAAAATATAAATAACTTCAACATTATTTCTTTATTAATAATATAATATACAGTTAATATATTTTACTATACAGACATGCACAATATAATATATATATATATATATATATAATGACGGTAGAAAATTCACAATGGGTCACAAATATATAAATTCATCGTGTCATATATAGAAGAGGAGAAAAGGATGGAGGGTGTTAACTATATCATGCATTTGAAATTTTCATACAATTTCATAATACAAATGAAAGCCCTTTAAAAATTTCAAATAATATTAAAAAAGAAATTTTTGTATAATTATCTATATACTTTTCTTTGTTGTAACACCCCCGTTTCCATATTCCGATACGTCATATACATATTCTATTAGATATTAAAGTGCAAGGTGTTTTTAGAAGAAAACATAAATTCACTATTTGGTATGGTGGTGATGTAAACATGAACGCAATTGCATATTTTAAACGTTTTTTTTATAATTGTACAAAGAAAATAAAATAGAACAATCACACACAGGTGTACAAAATAAAAATAAAATAACTAATTTTATATATTTTGGTTATTGACCCTTAAACAAGTAGAAGAACAATACAGAAACAATTGCAACTGGAATAAGGATAAAATTTTCACGTGAAAAATTTAGAAAAAATATATAAATGTATGTATGTATGTGTGCGCAAACATATACAACTATGTATATGTATATATTGAATTTGAATAAATAAAAAGTTTCCCTCTCTCTTAGCCTCAATTACTTACTATTAACTTTATTGTTGATATTTGTTTTACTATATTTAAAGTATAAACCAAGAATAAATTTTATGAGGCCAACGGCGGCGTAGGTAACAGATATTTTTTTCTCTATAAATATCTACGAATGATAATGTCTACGACGGGGGAAACGAGGGGGGTGACGGTCCCAGTAAGCCGTTGGCTACCACTCAAATTTTTTTTTACTTTTGCTGCCGCTGTCATCGTGTATTTGAGTTCTTCCTTATTATTTATTACTTCATAATTGATACGTTCACCCAACTTAAGCGCTTTGACGAATTACAGTGCTTAGTTGATTATCGCTGCAGAGCTCCTCTGAATGGTTTGCAGCACTTTATTCTTGCTTTAAAAAAACATGACGTTTGGTATGAATAACAACTGTCAGATTTATAATATTATTTTATTTTTTTTTAAATATTTTAAAAAGACAGACAGAATGATGATGGTAAGTAATGAGAAGTACTTATGTTTTACTTATGTTTTAATAATACAAACTATAATTTAAATAAATTGTACTTGTAATTTAATTCTAGCGTCATAACCAGTTGAACTTTTTTCCAAAACTTTTGAAAGGACATTATTCCTGTTATAATAATATGCATTTCCTGGTGGTTGCTGTATTTGTATGTGACAACCATCTTTCACTCCAGAAAATGCAAACTTTTTTTCAAATTCCTAGAAATTATAAAAATGATTTTAAAAATTGCTTATTAATTTCATAGATATTTTTATTATCATTCTATCTTCTGAATTTGGCCATTTACAAAGTTGTGTAAAAGAGAAATTAATATTTGCTATTTGGTTGGTAAATATAAAATGCTCCGTTCCCTTGGAAATATTGAACCTATCTGAATTTTCGTTGAAACTTGAATTGTGTGCTATCATTCATATCGTAAAGAGCAACTGCTTTTCTAAATATATTACATGTTTTATTTCATCCAACGCTGCTATTTCGTATACAACAATTTCTAAAATTTCGAAAAATTAATACAAATACAACATATAAGCTGTAAAATGGAGATTTTTTAATTATAAATAACAAAAGGATAACAAAAGTCATCCAAAGAATAGTTTAGTATAGTTACTTCAAAAAATCTTCATTTCTTGTTACATCTCCTCTAGTAGATCTAGCACTATTATATAAAACTTAAATAGTTTCGCCTGCTATGATGCCGATATTAGCTACAGCATTATCCTCTTCCGCCGCCTCCCGAAACATTGCAATTATTTTTTTCTTTTAATAATATTCCTTTTCAAAAAATTATATAAAAAATTGTTCCTTTTGAAATTTTAAGGTGACGTCCAACTGTAAATGTTAAACCGCTGCATAATGACGCATATTTTTTTTTGCTTCACAATTTTCAAATCGCTCAAGTTAATAGATTAAAAAAATAAAATGTTCACCAGAAAATCGCTTGAAGCGAAGATAATTTTAAAGCGCTTATGTTGGCTGAACGCTTCCCTTGAAAATCAAATTCATTGGCAATTATAATTTGGTAAAAAAAAACTAAATTTTTTTCTTAAATAATTTGTAACTATATTTCGACTTATGTCAAATTAATCGTCAGAAAAATCAACTTTGTGGTCTTGTAACTCGTGAGCTAAAAAAAGGAGAGCTAGAAAATTAAAGTTTCCTCCCATAACATTTTTGTTGTTTAAATCATTTTCGACAATAATAAATCGAATCTCGAACCACCGTATATATATATACATCTATAGATATTACAAATCTTCTTTTGAAAAGCAAGAAAAAAAAGAAAGAATAAAAAACGCAAATAATTAAAATGCAAACACGGACAATCAAAATACAATATAGGAATTGTCCAAGCATAACATCACGAAATTCAAGAAAAAAACGTATTGTACACATTTTAATACTATATATGTATTTTATAAAGTGTATGTATATGCGTGTCCTGCAATGTATACAGTACAACGTCGATAAAATAGAAACTGTTTTATGGAAGAAAATTTCAAATTAAACCATTAATTCGCATTTTATTTTATTATGCACTTACATATATTATTTTATGAAAAGTTATTTTACAATCTTACTGTCAAAGCTATCGGGTACAACAAAAATAAAAATTCCAGCAGTTCTAAATAAAATTTTTAACAACTGTGGTAATAAGGCACAAAATGGAGTGTCATTCACAGACATACAGTGAAGATCGGTTTTAACGAAAAATTGGTTAATAGCGAATATTATTAAGTCGGCGACATACTTATCTGTTTGTATATGAAATTAAAATTGATTATATTGATTACATATCTGGTTGAGCAACTGATTTGTTTTACTTACGTACGAAAATAGTTTTTAATGTAAAGTGTTTGTTGTATTGAGAAAACTATAAAATCTAATTTTCATTTTGATTTTAAATCGAGGAGTAGTAAATAGATAATAAATGTTAAAAACAAAACAAATAATAAAAATTGAAAAATAAACAATACAATACTTTTTATTTGTATGCCATTGTTATTTGTACAGAAAAATCAGTTATGAGTACATATAATGTTATTCTTTTTTGGTTTCTTGAATATGCGCTATAACCGATTTTTACTGTATATGGAAATATAATTTTATATTAAAAACCAAATACAAACACGTGTACACATATTATTATATAAGTACATTCATTTTCGCTTTGTTCTACCTGTAAATACACCGGTGCTGTTATATGTACCAGCATACCATTATTTATTCCTTTTTTTTTGTTATACAGAATATTTTAGTATATGACGTCATAATGTCCTTTAAGGGTACCTATTTTTATTTTTGTTTTTTTTTGTGTTTTATTGTTTTTTTTTTTTTAAGTACAGTTCTTTTTCGACCAATGTACACCTGTACATATACCACTCTTTCTATTATTTTTTCTGCGTCTTTTTTTTATATTTTTTCGGTTTTTCTCCAATATATGCGGTAAAGTACAACAATTTATAACGGTCATGATTTTGTATATTCAATTTTTCAATGTAAAAAAGAGTTCAAAAAATATTAAAATAAAAAAAAACACAATTAAATTAATTAAATAGATAAAAATAATATAATGTTAAAATTTATTTATTAAAAATTCGAAATATTTAATTAAAACTAAAATTTAAAATATAAAAAAAAAATCAAAAAACAAAAGACCAGAAATTTCTAACACTCTTTTTTTATAAATGTATAACAAATTACAAAAAATGCAACTGTGAATTAAAAAAATAATTAAAATATTAAATTTTAATAATCTTATAAATAAAAAAAATTGATTAAAAAACAAAAAAAAATTGGCACACTTAATTTATTTGTGGGTTTATTTATCTATATGTTTGTGTGTGTAGTGTCATCTCATTTCTCTGCATTAGTATTTAATACACGAAAAAAAAATTGTTTTTATAATTAACAAAAATCAATAATTTCTTCACAAAAAAAAATATTATAAAAAATAATTTCACAATTGTTGGAAAATTTTTGGTTAAGAATCAAAAAACCATTTTATTATTAATTGTATAACTATATTAAATTAAAATTATAACTGCATTAACTGTTAAAATTAATTAATAATAATTAAATAATATTATATAATGTAAAATTAGAAAATAAATTAAATTAATTCTTGTATGCCTTCTAAGGTCAATTTATATCGAAGGCATCGATCTATATATAGTAATTTTGCACTCAGCTTCGAACATTCGCCGGGGTTTGCAGCGGACAGACACTATATTGAAACATTATCATGTTTTCAATATTGTATCTCTCCGTAGTACTGTACGCTAGATGGGTGTAAAAATGTTTTAAGGTTATTATGTAATTCCCACTGGTCTACAATAATTTTAATCTGGCTTATAATTGTCTTTTGATGGATGTTCATCTTAACTTTTCGAATATCAAAATTCCATGAATGTCAATATCCTTGTCAAACATGGTTGGTCTCTGGAACATTTTTTGTTTTTTTAGAAAACAAGTATTTTGTTAAGATCATTGAAATGGTTTTCAAATCAAATGTGATTCGCACACGTATATAGAGCAACGTATTCATTCATTTATTAAATTTTTTCATTCTTTTCTTTCTATATGAGATACGAGTACTAGATCAGGCAAATTTTCCATACTGTTCATTTCAAATTTACATTTGAATAAAAGTACTTATATATGTACATTTATTCATATTTTGTAGATTAATGCAGCTTTTCATAAAGAAATTAATTTGTACTTTTTAATATTTATACAGTAAATACACGATTTCGACTTCGAGGAATTGTTCTCCGTCGTTTTATATATATATACATGTCCAAATTTCCATATTCATTTTATTTTAGAGTGATTTAGAAGTGCCTTAACTTTAGACTGTAAGATAGTAAAAATTTTAAATTTGCTATAATTGAGTAAAAACATTAACAGCACTTTTATTAAAAATTGATCTGAGCCAGAATAGTGATAATAAACTTAAAAAAATAATCAAACTGATCAAATTATAAAATGTTAAAAAAATATTTATTCAATCAACATAATTCTTCGTTGTTCTATAATAGTAATTAAATTAATCATGTTTTATTGCATTTTAATTGCAACTACAACAGAAATTTTGTAAATTTCTCATAAATAAATAAAATAAGCTAAAAATAGAATAAAAGAAAATGTAAATTAAAATATTTTAAAAATTGTACAAAATAGTTATAGTAATAGAGAACAATAAGAAAAAAGAATTTATTAAAACCTTAAAAAAAGTTATATATAAATAAAAATGGCAACAAAATCTACTGTTTTAACATCAAATAATACTAAACATCAAAGTAATAATTATGAAAAAAATAATTTATTAAATGATAATCATATTATAAATAATAATAACAATGATTATAATAATGAATCAGATGAAGAAGAATTAACAAGTTTAACATGGTTAACTGAATTAAAAAATCAAGGATTACATTGGCCAAATTCAATTGTCAAATCAATATTTAATAATTATGATGATGACAATAATAATTATAATAATAATGTAAATGATAATAATAATTATGATAACATTAATAATAATGAAACAATTAATAATGAAACAATTATTAATGATAATGAAAATAATTCAAATGATTATCGTAATAATTTAGTTAATGATTTAATTAATTATACAAATATAATGACAACAAAAGCAACAACTACAATATCAGATAATTATAGATGCAATAATAATAATGACTGTAATAAATATAAAAAATGTACAAATAATATTAAAAATAAACATTTGTCAAACATAAATGTAAATAATAATAATAAAAGTAATAAAAATGATAATTGTAATAATTGTAATAACAAAAATGATATTAGTAATTCAATAAACAAAAAACAATCAGCAGCGGATCGCTTTAACAAATTTATTGAACAAATTAAAAAGTAAGTACATAAATTAAATTTATGAAAATTAATTCTATTCTATTTTTTTAATTATATTTATATAGAATAAAGAAAGAATATGATAATTTTTCATCTGTTTATGAAATGGATACAAATGAGAAGCCACCATTTAATTATTCACAAATAATTGGTATGGCAATGTTGGAAAATGGTAGAATGACTTTACAACAAATTTGCTCATGGATTGAAAATAAATTTGCATATTATAAAATACGAAAAAATTGGAATGTAAGTTAATTCTGAATTTTTCACGATTCAAATACATAAATTTTTACATTTATGCAAAATTTTCTCTTAATTTTCTTAAATTTTTATTTATTTTTATAGCGAAATATGAGTCTTTAGTTTTCTTTGTTTTTATGTACAACGATCTCTGTTCAACAGAGGCTCATATTTCGCCAGCAGCTTCTTAATAAATGGTTTCCGAGAATTGCATAATTAAATCTGTTTTATAATCAATATTATTTTTGTTTTAGAATTCAATAAGGCATAACTTGTCATTACAATTCTGTTTTCGTAAAATTAATCGTAATAAATATGAAAAAGGTAAAGGTGGATACTGGGAATTAGCAATGGATGTAACAAAAAGTGAACGCAAACGTATAAGAAATCGCAAATCAAGAAATATAAAAAAAACATCATCATCATTAATATCACCACCACAATCTACTGTAATAACAACAATTCTACAACCTCAATTTTTATCAATTAATAACAGTAACAATAGTAATACTGATAAAACTAATAGAATTAATAATACAAAATGTTCAGGAGTAACAGGAGAAGGAACAGCAACTGTAATAGAAATGATATCAAATTCACAATCATTAAAACCATCAAAAATGGATAAAGAAATGGAAACAACAACAAAATTATATAATAATTTCAATGAAATTGAGAAAAATAATATTGAAACAACATTTTCTAATTTAAATAAAACTAATAATATTATTGAATACAATTTATCCTCAAAATTAATGGTTAATATTAATGAAAATTTAAATAATATAAAAAATTCACAATTAATAGGATTATCAGATTTAACAGAATTAACAACAATTGAGGAATCATTACCATTGTCTATAATAACTGAAACAATAACAGAAACAACAACTACAACAACAACTACAAATTCATCTTCATCATCATTAGCATCGTCATTATCCTCATCATCATCATCGCCGCCATCATCTTTATTAATTTTAAATGAAATTTCAAATAATATTGAAAATGAAATAACAACAAATATAAATTTGCCATCATCATCACCATCCTCATCACCATCATCATCGTCATTATCCTCAACAGCATCATCCTTATCATCATCGTCATTATTACTATTAAATAAGAATAAAAATAATGTTTTATCTTCAAATTCAAATTTATTACAATATCAACAATCTCATGAACAGCAGCAAAAGGCATTACAATTTAAAGCAATACAATATCATATTGATAATAATTGTAATGATGATAATTGTTTTAATAATAATAATGAAAGTAAAAATTTTGTATCTAATAATTGTTTAAATATATTAGAAAAAACAAAATTTTCATTAAATAAATCAAATATAATAGATGAAACAAATAAACAACCAATTGAAATAATTGATCATACAAATAAAAATAATAATTTATATAATAATTTTAATTTTAGTAATGAACCAACAATTTTAATAAATGATAATACAGTAATAGAAAATGTAACAAATCAGTTACAATATCGATTACAAAATCAATTAAATTTAATAAGTACATGTAATAACAATAGTAATAACGATAGTAAGAGTAATAATGACCATAATAATTGTAATAAAAATATTAAAAATAATCTTATCAATAATAATAATGATAAAATGATAAAAACTTCATCATCTTCATTATTATTATCTAAAATAAAATCATCAGTACCGCATGCGACACCATTAAAACCAGAATCTACCTTACCATTATCACCAGTTACAAATCAATTATGTAACACACCAAAAATATCATCAATATCATCATCATCAGTTGTGCCATCATCTGTATCAAAGGATAAAAAAAATATTTTATCAAAATCAACAAGTACAAATATTAAAGTTTTAACAAAAACAGCAAAACCATCGCTATTGTCATCACCGTCATCATGTAACTCTGCCAGAAGAAAGGGATATGAACAATTGGAATTAATAGAACCAATAGAAATATCTTTTGAGAACAATGATCATAATACAATGGCGTTATATAATGAAAATCATGATAATAGCAATAATCATTGTAAGTAATTTTTCTTTTAAAATTTAAATAAAATATTCATTTACTTTTTTTGTTCAAGCATTATCATCATTATCAAATAATATAATAGAAATTGATGATTTACAATTTTCAACATTAACGTCAACAACATGTAAAGCAAATATCGAAACATTATCATCAGACATGACAGCAATTAAAATTCATAAAAAATTGAATAACAATAATAAGGATAATGACATTAATATAAATAAAATTGATAACAATACGGTTATATTGCAATATAAAAATAATGAAATTAATAATCATCAGTCGTGTAGTAATATATTCAATGATAATAATATTATTCATATAATCAATTCAAATAAAAAACAAAAAATTAATAATGATTTATTAAATTTGGATAATGATTACAATAATGGTGGCAGATGTAATAAAATGCAAGTAAGTATATAGAATTTCACAAGAGGTTATATAAATATATCTTTAATATTGTAATAGATTGTAAATAATTGTATATTGAACGGGTTAATATGAGCTATTTTGGTTCTACATGTCTACCTTCTTCCTCTAAATTCAGCAGATTATGATTGTTTTTCCAGCCGCAACAGGCATATGGATTTTACCATAATTTTTCTAATTTAAATAAAGCTCATATATTTGATTGTATGTGGTTCGTTATTAAACCTATGATTAAATTTATCAAATAAAAAATTTTAAACCTTTCCTATATACACTTGACAAAAACCAAAATATACTTGTTTTTAATTGGACAATGAAAAATTTTAAGATTTGTTTTCTTTTTTTTTGTTTTTGTTGCTTTTTATTCGCAAGGAGAAAATAGGTTTTTAATTGGTGTTTCTTATTTAGGTATAATAAAATGAAAGTATTTTTTGATGAGTCTGCGTATTGCAAGGATTTTTTCAACACTAAAAATTAATATACATCATTATATATATATATACATATATGTATATTGAATTGCAAATGAAAAATATTTAAAATGATGAATGGAGATATGAGGTAGTATGAGAATTTTTTTCCAATAATTACTGAAACTTTTCATTTCAAACTTTGAAGAGTATAAGTATATGGAATTTCCAATGACTTGTTTTTTAACAGAATAAATGAAAAATTATGTACTATTTAATAGGCGTGGGTTACAGTTTCGTAGCCATAAAACTATAAAAAAACACAAAAATCGTACAACCTAATTTTGTATCTCATCTTGCTTTTTATTCACTTTCAATTCAGAACTCTCATTTTGTTTTTTGTTGATATGCCATTTTTCCAATAACATTATCTTAAAATTTTAAATAGTTATTATTAAAATTAAATTATTTATATGTATTTTGTAGAAAATTCACCATCATAATAATGGACATCATCATGGTGTTTATAATATTAAAAATAATGGTTTAAAAATATTAAATAACACAAATTTTAATAATTATAATATAAATAATAATAATAATAATAATAATAATAATAATAATAATAATAATAATAATGATAATAATAATAATAATAATAATAATAACAATAATAATAATAATATGGATGAAAATATTATTGTTACATCATTCCTAAATAATTCACCAATTAATGGACCAAATGTTATTGTTGAACAATTACCAAATTACTATACAATATCAATTCAAAATAAAATTGATAATTATAATGATCATGATGAAAATCAGTTGATTAATTTGGATTATATAACAACAAAAGAGGATAATAATATTGATGATAATGATAAGATCAAAAAAGGAGCTACTACTACATCAATGCCAACAGCACCAACAGCAACAATAAATTCAACAAGAAAAACTGGAAAAATATCATTAGCATCATTATCGCCATCACAATCATCATCACCACCACAGGCAATAATAGCTGAAATAATAAATGAAATACCAGATATAACTGTTATTCAACAACAACAACAACAACAACATCAAATAATTATGGAAAAATTTGGAATAAAAAATTTAGAAATTGAGAAAAAGAAATCATCATCAGCATCACTAAAAAAAATTAGAAAAATTAAAAAATCCTTTACATCATCATTGTCATCCATATCATCTTCATCATTATCTTCATCATCATCATCATCATTGTCTCCAGTATCATCATCACCAACATTATCATTTAATACAAAATCATTGTCAACATCATTAACGGGAAATTATAGTAATTACATGATTAATTATAATAATAGCATTGATGATATTAATGATAATAATTATAATAATAATAGTAATAATAATAATAATAACAATAACAATAACAACAATAATAATCATAATAATAATAATAATAACAATAATAATAATAATCATAATAATAATAATAAAAATGTTAATGATCATAATATAAATGATAACGATAATAATATTGATGAGGATGATGAGGAGGATGAAGATGATTTATTAATAACAAATCAATTACGTCCATATATTGATGGTATTGATGAGGCATTCCAATTTTTAAGAAGCTCAGAAAATCAAAATCGTTGTGATGAACTTTTAGACGGAATTTATGATATATCAGTTAGTGATTTTTAAAAAAAAGAAGCTGTAAAAATCCGTTTTTCCTTTCTTTTTGGATTTTCTTTCATTTTGGAATAGACATTAGAATGTGAGATAATTTCTAATAGATGTATAAGAAAATATGATTTTCAATGTCTATAAACCTATTATTTTGATTACATTATTAACGATGTATAGTTTACTTACAATAGTATTTGTATACTTTACTTTATTATAGTTGTATAGTTACAATAGATGTATACTTTACTTCCAATGTATAGTATACTTACAAAACTATAAATTTTAAGAATTTGAGGAAATTATACAAAACCCATGTCGATTTTGTCCTATAATTTATTAATTTATTTTTTATTTTACGTAGATATAATTAGTAATTGTATACATACATATAATTACATATTTTTTCTTCTATTTTGCATATGAGCTAAAAATCAAAACAAAACTAGAAAAAAAATGCATACTATAAGGAGAATAGATTTCAAATAATAAGAGAGCAAAAATAAAATGTAAAATTTTTGATAATTAAATAAAAATTGCATATTTTTTGGATGTTGTATTTATTTTTATGTATGTTCTTCTTTTTAAAAATAAGGAAGAGAAATTATTACTACAAACATATTTTGAATTTTAGTTAAGAAATATTACATTTATATATTATTTACATTTTATATTTTTATATTTTATTTTATATTTTTTAAATAATATATAATAATATTTATTACATATATATTATTATATATTATTTAAAAATATTTTATAATTAATATTAATTAAAAGGAACATTCAGTTTACATTAGTGGTAAATTACATTATTTACAAAAGTAAAATTATTTTGCATAAGTTTTGTGGAATTTAAATTTTATAAAATAATAATTTTATGGTGTCTACATGAAAATTTTACAATACTTATTTAAAACAAAAATTTAATTTAATTGTATACCAATTGTCAATTTGATTTAACTGATTT